CAGTCTCCCGCCCCAGTCTCTCATCCTGGCCGACACAAGTCTTCCTCAAGACATGGATAATTTATGCCCCTGGGAGAATTTATGCCTCTGAATCCTGGAATCCCCCAATCCGGAATGTCAATGGGATGCCTCTTTGATTGGCACCTGCATTCCGAACGTCCCCCTTTCCCCCATGTGGCCCCTCCCTCCCACTCACACCCGCTGAACTGCCTCCGGCTCTGGCTGCAGCAGGGAGGGGCAGGGAGGCCTCCCCCTCTACATCCCTGCCCCTCATCCTCAGGCACAGGCAAGGTTGCTATGGCAGCTACCTTTCCCAGGGTCCCCGGAGCCTTGAGCTCCAACATGGGGGAGCCTGGGAAAGGTAGGGGATCAGGTGTTGCTGAGCTTCCTCACTTCCCTGTTCAGACTGTGCTGCACCCCAGGATGGGAAGAGAAGAAAAAACACCCTACTAAAAGTTGACTCTCCCCAATTCTAGGCTTCGGGTAAGGCTTGGACCAAAGTAGGACAAGCAAGGCAAGGGACTCTCTCCCCCGAGAAACTTTTGTCTGGAGACCCTTTCTCTTTTTGTGTTATCCTGTGAAGGGGGGGGTTCTTGATAATAGAACAAAATAGTCATAGAAATAGAATTAATTGAGGAGAAAGCATCCCACAGTCAAAAGGAGTGGAAAAGGTTTTTGAGTCAAGACAATGCTTGTCTTGGTTCATTGTGAAATTTCTTCTTTAAAGTAACCACTAAGGGATATGTGAAGGCTACACTGTGGATCCAACATCTACCCTTTGTGCAGGTAGACAGTGCCAGGAGCAATCATTGACACCTGATCCCCTCAGCCTTTCCCCCACTAAGAACCCAAAGTGAATCCCAGATCTAGGAGGCAACAAGTTTGAAAAATAAAATGGAAGAGAAGCAACTAAACACAGAAGTAATGAAGGAAGGATAAGGTCTACTCTGTCCCACTTTCATCCTGATGAGGCAGTTTTAGGACGTCCTTCTACTCCCGTGCTGAGCCCTGGAAATACAGCACCTTCTGTCTTGAGATGATCAAAAGCAGAATTGTTGTGGGGGCAAAGATATCAAAGGTGGTGAAAAACTGTAAGTAAATGAGAGAGGTCATTGATAATAGAAGCTACAGGGACAGGAAGACAA